CTCGAATAAACGAATGATTCGTATCAATTTTTCTCGTCTTATAAAGAAATGAGAGAATAAATCAGTACTGAAAATTGAAGACCGATCAATATTTAATTTATTCATCAAAAATAACTCGGTTAAACGAACGATCCGTATCAATCTTTCTTTTCTTATAAAGAAATGTCAGAATAAATCAGTACCGAAAACCGAAGACCGATCAATACCTAATTTCTTCATCAAATTAACGCGGATAAATGAACGATTCGTATTAATTTTCTGTTTTCTTATAGGGAAATGAAAGAGTAAATCAGTACCGAAAATCGAATATCGATTAATACCAGAAATCAATGTCAAAAAACTGTCCAAGTGCAATGACAATTTGTTCTCACTTTTCAGGTACTTACCCCTCTAATCTTATTCAACAAATTAACTCGGATGAACGAACAATTCGTATCAATTTTTTTTGTCTTATAAAAAAATGAGAAAATAAATCAGTACTGAAAACCGAAGACTGATCAATATTTAATTTCTTCATCAAATTGACGCGGATAAATGAACGATTCGTATTAATTTTTTTTCTTATAAAGAAATGAAAAAGTAAATCAGTACCGAAAATTGAATATCGATTAATACCATAAATCAATGTCAAAAAATTGTCCAAGTGCAATGACAATTTGTTCTCACTTTTCAGGTACTTACCCCTCTAATCTTATTCAACAAATTAACTCGGATGAACGAACGATTTGTATCAATTTTTTTTGTCTTATAAAAAAATGAGAAAATAAATCAGTACTGAAAACCGAAGGCTGATCAATATTTAATTTCTTCATCAAATTAACGCGGATAAATGAACGATTCGTATAAATTTTTTTTCTTATAAAGAAATGAAAAAGTAAATCAGTACCGAAAATTGAATATCGATTAATACCATAAATCAGTGTCAAAAAATTGTCCAAGTGCAATGACAATTTGTTTTCATTTTTCAGGTATTTATCCCTCTGATCTTATTCATCAAATTAACTCGGATAAACGAACGATTCGTATCAATTATTTTTGTTTTATAAAAAAATGAGAGAATAAATCAATACCGAAAACCGAAGACTGATCAATATTTAATTTATTCATCAAATTAACACGGATAAATGAACGATTCGTATGAATTTTTTTTTCTTATAGAGAAATGAAAAAGTAAATCAGTACCGAAAATTGAATATCGATTAATACCATAAATCAGTGTCAAAAAATTGTCCAAGTGCAATGACAATTTGTTCTCACTTTTCAGGTACTTACCCCTCTAATCTTATTCAACAAATTAACTCGGATAAACGGACGATTCGTATCAATTTTTTTTTAATAAAAATATGAGAAAATAAATCAGTACCGAAAACTGAAGACTGATCAATACCATAAATCAATATCAAGAAAATTGTCCAAGTGCAATGACAAGTTGTTTTCATCTTGAAGGTACTTACCCCACTAATTTACTCAACAAATTAAATCGGATAAAAGAACGATTCGTATCAATTTTTATTCTGTTATAAAGAAATTAAAGAATCAGTCAGTATTGAAAACCGAAGACTGATCAATATTTAATTTATTCATCAAATTAACGCGGGTAAATGGACGATTCGTATGAGCTTTTTTCTCTTATTGAGAAATGAAAGAGTAAATCAATACCAAAAATCAAATATCGATTAATACCATAAAGCAATGTTAAAAAATTGTCCAAGTGCAATGACAATTTGTTCTCATTTTCCAGGTTCTTCTAATCTTATTCAACAAATTAACTCGGATAAACGAACGATTCGTATCAATTTTGTTTATCTTATAAAACAATGAGAAAATAAATCAGTACCGAAAATCGAAGACCGTTCAATATCTAATTTTTTCATCAAATTAACGCGGATAAATGAACAGTTTGTATCAATCTTTTTTTCTTTTATAGAGAAATCAAAGACTAAATCAGTATCGAAAACCGGATATTGATTAATATTATAAATCAGCGTTAGAAAATTGTCTAAGTGCAATGACAAGTTGCTTTCATCTTGCAGGTATTTGATAAAAAAAAAGAGTAAATCAGTACCGAAAATCGAATATCGATCAATACCAGAAATCAGTGTTAGAAGATTGTCCAAGTGCAATGACAATTCGTTCTCATTCCCGAGTCTTTCCCGAGTCGAAATATTAATTCTACATTGATCCTGCAAATTGCACCCAATTTGAAAAATCAATGCAGAATATCTAGATGCGCAATAGTGAACAAGCTTTGTCCTACCTGAACGTTACATCTGGCTACTCTCGCAGTCTCGCCCATGATGAGTCTTCAACAGCGACGTATTCCGCAGTTATTTAATACTCGTTTATCTCGATAATGTATATGTACTTAATCCTTATATTCTTAATTTAAATGAGCAATTTTTGTTCATGTTGATTACATATTCGCTTAACAACGCAAGAAAAAGAACAAAGATAAAAACGTAAATAGAACTGCCTTTGTTAGAACTGCGCGTGAGATAAATATATAAGGATTAAGTAATCATATAAGAATTAGAGGAAATGGGAGATGAAAAACACTTTTTATTCTCATCATTCTCAATGTTCTTTTTTCCTTTTTTCTTCTCTTTTTTTTTTTCTTTTTTCTAATGAGAATGATGAGAATTGTAGCTCTTAAAAGAGCTGAAGCTGCAAAAAGACAACGGTTATGTCTAATAATGCTGTTTCACTAATAGAGATTTTAATTCAGATTCGGTACAATAAGAAAGATAAGCAAGAATGAGAAATGGACATTCTAGCAGATTCTAAACGAAAACAGCAATCTGAGCATTATTAGACGAATAGAAATCAACACTTGTAAAATTTTTTTCAGATTCTAAGATCATTATTCATAGTTTTCTAAATTATGTGCAACTTTTTATCGAGAACGTAATTAAAAATTTGTATTTATAAACCTTAGCTTGCCTCAGCAACCTTGCTTGAATAGACATTCATACTTTATGAGAAAAGAAAAGTAGAACTCATGTTACGTGAAATTAGGTTAACGAATAATCAAATCTCAAGCTATTTTATCATTTTTCAGTTAATAAACTATGAATGTTGATCTAATTTCGACTCGGGTATGTCCTTACTTCGAGTAAGGTCCGTTAAAATCAGAAAAATCCTACGTAATAATAAATACTCGAGATACCTCGAATACCATATATAATGTATCGCTGTCCACGTCTCTCGGCGCGCTCCAAGTCCTCTCCATCCTGACTTCTCGATCCGACGTCCTTCTGGTTGCTCCGTCGCAGCACCCTCGGATACTCCATCGTAGCACTGGCGACGACACTGACTCTAGCTCTAACACTCGCGCAAGTAAAATTCGGGGACAAAGAAACGCGTATTAACCGCGATACGACTATCGACACTCGTACTACTCTACCCGTCGCGGTATGCGCGTCGTTCGTCGGCCCGAAGCGCAATGTCCTTTCCGCAATCACGGAGTCATATACAAGGGTACGAAACCAAACAATCGGGAAGGCACGGTTACCCCCCACCAGTCGCTGATCTTGCCGATCAGTGTTGATGCCTGCGTCGTCCGTTAGCTGAAAATGAAAACAACTCGTGTTTTCAAAACATGCCTGTGAGAGACTCGCTTCAAACTTCACAATACTTATTTACGTCTGTTCCAAGAATCATATTACGCCGAATTCAGACTGTCTCTATTGACATGACATACACGAGATCTGCGATCGCATCATTGATCTTTCTTTGAACAAGAAAATCCTGAGAGGAACGCTGTTCGAGAATATCACATTTTATGTTTCAGGTGCCTTGCAGATTATCGAATCCGATGTAACAGATCAGGGAAAGTATGAATGCGTCGCTATGAATAACACGTGTGGGCACGGAGTACTCCAAGTCAATCACGTTATGCGTGAAACGTACTTATATTTAATATTATATAAAACTTATCCTTTTAAACAAAAAGGTAAAAAAAAGACGCCATGTACAAGCGCAACACGTATTGTGTTATTTTTAGAAGTATCAAACTCAAATTATTTTTTCTATTGTATATATGTGTACATAAGTTTCATAAATAAAACTTATAACTATAATAAAACTCTGCAACACTTTTCTACTGTACAAAAGAAATGATATATTAGAACAGTAGCGCCAACTGAGAAACCTAACATATATATATATATGATTATTGTATACTTAACTTAATATTTTTAGAAATTTCAAATTCAAATTATTTTCTTTTTTAAGATACATATTATGTACATAACATAAGTTTTTATAATATATGTACATAAACTTTTAAAAGTAAAAATTATATCATGTTTTAAAAATTTAATACGTTTGTTAATAGTGTCCAATATTTAAAAAAAATATATTTTTAAATATTATGTACATAACATAAGTTTTTATAAATAAAACTTATCAAATTACTTTTTTTGTAAGATATATATGTACATAAACTTTTAAAAGTAAAAATTATATCGTGTTATAAAAATTTAACACGTTTGCTAATAGTGTCCAATATTTAAAAGAAAATATCTTTTTAAAGGTTATGCTATTCAAAATATTCAAGAAAACCTAGCACCTCATGTATACATCATGCGTCCCCAGACGTGTTAAATCGTTTATTATACAGGAGACTTTGATACGGTATCATGTATTCGAAGATTTAATATTTAATACATATTTTTATTTTTCCTGCTCCTCCCCCCCTCCATCCCGCTCTTTTTAGACCACCGGGCATAGTCTGACAGAGATGACAACTACGGTTGCCGCACGGACATAAACCGCCTAAAAGTGGATGTAGCATAGACTTCCACCACATGCAGGTTTTACCATCGAGACCTGAAAGTGGATGCAGCATCATAGTTCCTCTCTCAAAATGGATAGCAGATGGCGTCCTTTCCCAGTGCGGAAAGTCGGTGTCGCAGAAAATGCCGTGTTGGCCGCTTTCAGGTTTCTCTCTGATATTACCTCGTCGGCGACAATACCAAAACTACAATTTATTTTCGTATCTTCGATCTTCTTCCTTCGCCATTTTCAACTTAATCAAATTCGTTCAATCGTTCTCTCGCACTTGCTGGAATGCATTTCATCCGTTAAAGCGACAATTTTATTCGTTCAAGTAGTTTTTTCGCTCACCACATGACCACTTGCGCTAAGCTCATTATAAGTAATATAATAGACTCTTTTTATTCACATATGTCGTATTCTTCTTAGACTCTTTCAGAATGAAACGAAACGGTCGTCAGCCGTATAAAAGAGAAAGAGATAGAAATCATAAAGGAATGCAGACAATGCAGCCGCAATGGGAGCAAACTGTCGACCTCGCAACGAGTTGTAATCCGGAGCTTTGAAACGACGACGAAACGGCGCGGTCGCGATATCGAGCGACCCGGTGACCTCTCTATGACGGGCGGAATTGATTATTTTCAACAGGAGAGTCACCGTAAAATATACGCGGCTACATCGACGCGACGGGCTAGATGACACGCTAGGTATGTAAGCGGTAGTCCGTCATGGAGAGTCGCTCAGGCAGTATAAAGGACCCGATTTATTACCCGGAGAACGCGGAGAACGCGTCGGCTATCACGGCGAGCACCAGCGACGCTGACAAGAGCCAGCGCAGCTCTCTTGGCAGCCAGCAGGAGATCAGCCTGGAGGATGGCAACGCGCTCAAAGTGCCGCGCAAATTTATCACCAATTGGCGGCAGGCCTGCGACCGAACGCGTGATCGCACCAAGGATCTTCTTAAAAGATGGAGAACGACCGCGAGCAACGTCGAGGAACTCGCCGGTCCACCGACTGTCGCCGTACCGGAGCTCGAGCAACCTAGCTGGAGTGTGCACGTCTGGAGTGAGTATGTCTGAAGGACCTATTTTGGGCGCACAGCAGACATTGAGATATTGAATTCTTTTATTTCTAAGTTTTTCTTTTTTTTTTAATTTAAAGTTACATTTTTCTTACGTAAGTGTTGTTTTAGTTTGAGAGGCATATTTAACGTATATAGAACTGTTGAATGGTCAGCTCTGGTTCGATCAATCTTCTTGATTTGTTATCGGGACAAGCGAGCGATCCGCGACACGGGAATTGAGTTCATCGGAATTACGCGACGTTCCGCGCATGAATAATAAATTATAACCGCTCGCTCTGATATGTATGTAGGCAATACATTGTAATTATCGATCAATCAATTGTATTAGTTAAATGATTTGTTGAATTTAATTTACACTGACTGATTGAATTAAATTTCATTATCATCGCGGATTTTTATTGTCATTTCCGTTTGTATTATTTTCATTATTTTGAGTTAAGGTATTTTAATATGAATTGAATCGAACTGTATAATTAATTATGCCGTATGATTCTCATTAGCTACCTGGGTGAGCCGCTTTCCGAGCGACGACAGTTTATCCGCTATCAACGAATTCAGTAAAAGCGAAGGCTCACAAGCTTTGGCTCCTATACAGCGCGATAAGTTCTCTCACTTCTTCATGTACCTCTTGGACCATGATAGGGACGGTTATGTCGGCAGGAAGGACTTTGCAATACTTTCGGAGGTAGAGTTGCATGCTTTACAAAATTCAACTTGCAGAAATCTAAATATTCAGGGAACGAAAGATCAATATATGTTTTTCTGCCGGGTTTCTGAAAAGCGTTTGAGAAGATTCGCCGACTGGTCGTGGAACGGTCCAGAGTACTTGAGATTGCTGGAGATCGAAACTGGATTCGCCGGATTGATCCTGCAGGACAAAAAGGGGCCCATGGAATCAGACAGGAAGATCGATCTCGATGACTGGTTGTCCTGGTGGGCGCAGATTGTCGCACCGCCGGACGGAGCCAGCTACAACGACATGCCGTTTTGGATCAAAGTCATGCCGCGGGTGTTTTTCCTCGCGATAAACAGATCCGGAAGCGGAATGATCAGCAAGAAGGAACTCGCGGCCTTTTACAGCTCCGTAGTCGGCCTGGACACTGACAGGATAAACAAGTGCCTGGACACCGCATACGACTCTATGACTTCGGTAAATTGATCCGTAATTTTTAAATCAATAAGTGTGGCCAGTCATTAATTAAAATTATAACACATATGTGAACGATATTAGAATATTAAAAATTACAATCTTGCTTATATATTTCTGTTACATTAACTCTTACAGTTTCTTATATTTCCATAAACACATACTTATCTAAAAATATAAAGTTATCTTTTAAATTAAATATATTAATCATATATAGTAAACGCAGATGAACCCGCAGAATTAAATTTTGTCCGATTTAGAAATTCGCCTCCTTCCTTAAATTCTACAAAACGGGTACAAAATGGCTCATGGATTCTTTCGCGCTCCATGTGTTCCATCATTTAGCTCGAGAAATTCGCCAGAGAGATTTGTTGAGGGCAGAATATTGCTTTCAGAATGGAGATCATCCTCTCGGCTGGATACAATATCAGTTGGTGTTCGCTAACTTCTTGTTCGGCCGCGGCCCCTTCGGTCCTGGGGAACACTTCTTGGGCATGACGGACTCCTGCATGATCCGAGGTAACACCATACCGTTCCCTATCGACTATTCCGCGATGAACACACCGCGGGACAAGCTGGAGGTCTACAGTCCTCATTGCAAGAGCAACCGGCGCAGCGTCGTAGTTTAACGGTAAATCTCATCGCGAGAAAGAGAAAGAGAGAGAGTTCCCTCTGATTAGTAGCGCAACGTGCACAATCATTCCTTGAGTGCCTCATACCATGTGCCGTACACACATATGTATGCCGTGTTTGAGATAGATTCCCTTTGCTCGATTGATCACATTTTAAGAACGGTCTCGAGAAGGGACGCGCAAAGAAAGAGGGAGACGCAACGTCTGCCTCGCACGATTATTTCGACGTATGCGAAATTGACGTTTCGATAATCAGGCATAATTTATGACACCGCACCGATATTACCGCACCGATATTACGTCACACACTGCCAGGGTTACTTCGCGGGATGAGCAGTATGGCCATTCCTCAGACATATTGAGAACGCACGTGTACTTATTTGGAAGCAAAACGCGCGCAGAGACTCACCGCTACACGGAGAAGCTCTGCTTACTTACCAGACTCGCTGATGTCCGTGACGTGAAGCGTCCGTCACTCTGCGCGGGTGTAGTGATACTAGGTCGTTCGGCGGAAAGAACGAACACCATTTCGCAACGGTTGTGTACTTACAAAATTTATTTCAAGCGCTTGCCACTCTTAGCATACTGCTCACGCGTCCGAGTTACGCGTCCGGGTTCATTATGTGATTTCGTTTTCTCTCCTGTTCCTCCCTTTTACGTAATATATGAAAAATATCGACTCCAAGTGTACAAAGCGATTACTGTTGTCTACGAGTAATACGACCGAGGAAATAACGACGGGGAGGCGCTCTCTCGATTATGTGCGCGCGGTCGTACTTACGTTAAATATCTATGAGTGGCCCTCCTCGGCCCTCCCGATCTTACGTTTAATAAGGCGTATACGGAGGCACATGGATCACATACTTTCCAATATCGACATATTGTTCCTCGTCCACACGGCGTAAGTACGCCGTTGCGGGCTACCAACCGACCAACTGACCGATCGACCGATCGACCGACTGACCGAGAGATTCAATAAATGCACCAACAGTGATTATGACAATCGGGTATTCTAGTACTTTGGTATCTTCGTGTTCTTTATATTGTCTTAGCCCAAACCGCCAGCACATACGATTCGATCTCGCACTCGTTCGTTCCCCTCTGAATCCTGAAAAGTCCGTTCTCGCCCCAGTGGCGTCCCCAGGAGTTCGCGACTAGCTGAAAAAAAGAAAGGGAAAGAAGATCGTTGTAGGGTTGCGGAGAAGTGACAAGAACGAATGAAAGAAAAATAATAAAATAAGATGAGAATACAAGAAAAGAGAAGTGAAATCGAGAAAAGAAGATAAAAATTACAGCGGCAAATTACAGAGAACACATGAATCCAGAGGACGTCTCTGAAGAAGACACGCGTGAAGGATGTTTGGGAGATTAAGAGCATTTTTAGACATTCGCAACGTATCAAACGACAGATAATTACGCGTAATTATAAGTTGTGTCGTCGTAATATCTTGCTTTTTTCTTAGTGCTACACGCTGTATACGAATCTTATCGTAAACATGCCGTTGCGCAAACTCACCCAGTATTTGAGCGGTGGGCCGCGATAAGACGGCTCCTCGCCCCATCCGATGATTCTCATTGAGTGGTAACCGGAATCATGCAGTTCTGCGCTGCGAGAGTGCCTGTACACTCCGTTCTTGTAAACAAAGAAGTCCTGGTAGACTCTCATGGTAGCTGGAAAGAAATTTCCATATTTCCAGTACGTTTCTCCGGTTAGTTGCGGCGAAAAGAATTCCCTTTTAGATTAAAACCCCCATGAGATGCACGCGCGCTTGCCAAATCCACTCGCACGTATTTTACCGTAAGATAAAACATAATATAAGAAGAGAATATTACAGTTTCCTTCATAAAAAATTATTTTTAATTTTATTATATTTCCTAGTAGTAGAGAGCAAGAACAAAGTTAAGTTTATCTGACTCTACAGTGGGAGAAAAAATCTAAAAAATAAGAGATATATTCAGTAGGCACTAATAATATACATTTACTTAAGTTCACATTTTTTAGTTAAACAAATAATTGCTTTTTCTGCTCTTCCGCGTTTACGCACGAGAATTTTCAACGCGAATAATATGTATCTCTGAATTTCGATTGATGATTATATCTAAGACGGTAGCAGAGGGACATATATACCTTGCACGGGTCCAGAAGTCAGGATCTCCTGCATAATGTCGGTTTCGTTACCTAGACGATAGGCCGGGCCGACCTTGTACAATTCCTGTCTCAGCGGGTTTGGCGGCTTTCTACAGCCGGCGACATTTAGGTTGCTTCGTTTGCGTAGTCTACATTGGTCATTCCTACCGGTCCAAGGATAGCACTCCTTGTCCACCAATCTAAGACAAGAAGACGGCACGTGAAAAGCACGCGTTCGCCAAACGCGAAGAGTGACTGACACGACAGTGACTGACTGACAGAAATTACCCGAATTTTCTCATGAAGAGCCAGGCTCGATCCAGATATCCGCCTCGGCAGCCTTGCTGTCCTCTGTTGTTGCAAGAGAGTAGATGCTGCGCGCTCAGCTCTACGTCTTCGGCGCCCTTGCTCATAATCGCGAATCGGTCGGACGCGACGTCGGCTGTCGAGACGGCCCAGGACGCGCCGCACCATCCTTGATCGTGAATGCCGGATATGTCGCGCGGCCAGCGTGTTCTGGCGTCGAATTCCCGCGGCAACGCGTCCGGGTCGTAAATACGTCGCACCGGGTTCATCTTGTACATCTGCGGGCAAAGGTACTTCTCGAGGGTTCTGTTCATTTGTTTATCGAGAGAGACCTCGGCGAGACCTTCGCTCGTCGGCGGTTGGAAACCGACGCATTCGACTCGGAAGGATCAGTTCAGTCTATGAGACGATCATGAGATGCGACGACCAAGAACCTCTTGATCGCTCTTGGTCGGATGTTACTCACGAGCAACGCTGAGCGCTTATTCATAAAACCCCCGCAGCGGAGCACGAGACGGATTACTTAAGCCGTGGATCTTTTAGCCTTAGTTGCACAAGCGAAGCAATTGACCTAATCTTTCGAGGCAATTTCGAGGCGTCTATGCACAGCGGCGTTTCCAGAGCAAGGTTGCTTTATACTCCGAACTTATCGAGCCGTAATGACAATTCCGTCCTTTCGACGTAAAAACGTCTCATCATTCTTCGAAATTTACGTGAAATTTACTTCCTGAATTCTTCAATCTCGAGTAATAGCGCAAATATTAATGATGATAATAATAATGATACGTTTCACCGAAACGACGAAGAAACATCCGGGAGAACATTTTGGGGATATTCTTGCGACAATTCGCGTAACGTTCCTGATCCTTCGACCGTGAACGAGCGATTGCGTTTCCGGTTGAATACGTTTTCGTCCGCTTCTCCGTGTTTTCACGAAGATATACGCGATCTGGATATCTGGAACTTAACACGTTAACTACCAGCACATGTGGGACGCATCGATCTCTCATCGTGGAACGACCATATATACGCGTATATATACATGTGGCAGCAATCATTTTTCTTTCTGTGTCCGTGTGAAGAAATGGAATCCGTTCTACACGATTGCACGAAAAAAAAAAAAAGAAAATACAGGATGGACCGCGGGGAGGATTTCCCAAATGATCGAACGTGTCAACACTCACGGATTGCGACGGATTGAGAGTACCCAGGCGTAGCTCCACGCCGTCCCGCAGTGTCCTTCCCCAGAATTCGGAATAATTGCCCGCTTGCCATCCCAAGGTCGGTCCTTGCAAGTTGACCTCCTCCATTAACTCCGGCTCGATCAAGCATCGGTTCTCCTCGCAGAGCACTTCGGCGCGCTTGCCGAGCGAGGAGCATTTGCTGTGACATAAAATAAATTTAGACGATCTGCTCTCTCTCTCTCTCTCCTTGTCGTCTCGACGGTGCGGGGTCAAAAGGAGCGACTCAAGTATTACCATGTGTTGCAGTTAACTCTTAACGTTTGTCCATGATTATACTCTTTCCCTTGGAAGAAGCATCCTGAAAGCACAGACGATGATTTTGAACAAACATTTTCCTGCATTATATGTATATGTATCGTACTTTTATATTATATTTTATTTATATGTGTGTGTATAATATATAATGTTAAAAAAAACATATATATATATATATATTTCTTTCGCCGGAAGATCGCCGATGAATTCAGAAACGTTGGATGAGGCTTTGCCTGAGGCGATATATTTAGCGAACATTAAGTACATATTATATAGATTTTTGTTTTCTTTCTATAATAATCACGCACTTCTTATCTCCTCGGGCGGTGATGTGACGTTTGGCACGATGCCCCTGCAGTGCTGCCAGTAATCCGGACAGCAGTCTTCTTCACGGTCTCGATCGCAGAAATCATCACAATAGCATAGCGTCGTGAGGATCGGCGCGCTGCAGTCGTCCTGTCGTCCTGGGCAGCAACTGCCCCCAGGATACCTCGAGGCGCAGTATGGCCCCGGCGGCAGCCCAGAGTAATCCGGAATGCCTCTCACGAGCGAGGGCAGGAACACACAGGCGATGAACACTAAATTCTGGCAGTGTACGGTCCACATCCTGTAAGGATCGTGTGTAGTGAGGAGTCAGCGCGTCACCGATCCTTATTCAATTCTAATCGAAACTACGTCGTCAGTGAGCATAAAATTCTCTCTAGAACTCGATATTCAATAGCGTGTAACATTTTCTTCACGCTACAGTTTCTTTTTTTTAACGTTTTATCAACATCATTGCGAAACAACTTTGACTCTTTGATGTTTCTAAGATATTTTTACCTTATCCTCAATTTTCGAGAAAGCCGTGTCATGTTTGAGAATATCTTTGAAATATTTGGGAGTTGTACCGAGAGTGTGAAAGGGACATTCAAGAGAGATCAATTTAATTGTATGATTAATTGAGATCAATTAATCATAAAATTAACATTATCAGGATACCGATCTAATGTTCCTCGCTTGCTCATTACCGTACGGTATTTTGCGCTAACATTGTTTCAATTTTACCAATGTATCAACGAGCGGTCTCGACGTTTGTTTACTTCCGGACGAGTGTATTTGAGCAAAAACCCTGTTAAATCGCGTCTGCTTATTTCGACGATTGTATCAATCTGATGCAACATTGAATCGACAGCGAGTCGGCGCGTCGCGTAACTCGTCCAGGTGCGCGCAGCTGGTATGTGGGCTTCGGTAACAGCTGGCAATTGATAACAATAACGTTGCCAAGCTTACGACGCTTCGCGGACCGACGGGACGCGTCATCTTGTCTGCTTTGGAACGGCTTCAAGGCGTCGGCAGTTTAAATGCCGCGCGATTTGTCACCCGGCATTCTAGAGAGGAAGATGATGGAAGTCTCCTCGGGACTTGTGCAACGTCTCCTACAGTTTCGCCGAGAGCGGGCAATGTTTGATTCATTTCGGGCTTCTCTTTTGTGTCGTGGCGCGTGTATTTACACGGGACCTCGTCCGCAGTCGTATGTATTTTCACAAGCTGTGCTCGAGATACGTCTCTTTTCTCACAAACGAACATCCCGAACGTATCCGAGGTATCTTTCTATGCTGCGGTGACTCGGAACTTTATAGAAAATTTACGTCGATGACGTTTTGCGTTCTGTCCTCTCTCTCTCTCTGTCTCTCTCTCTCTCTCTCTCTCTCTCTCTCTCTCTCTCTCTCTCTCTCTCTCTCTCTCTCTCTCTCTCTCTCTCTCTCTCTCTCTCTTTCTCTCTCTCTCTCTCTCTCTCTCTTTCCTTTTCTCTTTCTCTCTCCGGAGCAGCGACGCGCTCGACGACATCTGCCGCCCGTACGGACGACGGTCCACGGATCGTCTATCACGGATCACGTAACTCTGAAACGAGTGTCACCCGAATCGGCTGCATTATAATATTGATGGAATTTACCAGACTGGAACGAGGATCGTGATTTCAGCTTCCTGGCCCGTCGGTCAGGCCGCGTGCTTGCGTAACGATACCGATTTTCCAGCCGATGCTACTCGATTAAACGAGCAGTATGCGTGTACAATTCGCTAAGTCGGAATACGCAGGTAAGTACCAGTGAATTCTGTGATCCTATCCTTGGAAAATAAAGAAGACCCTGTCCCATAGGAGTATAAAGATTTCGTACAAAGAAATATGAACGCGTCGTTGACTCGTTAATGGGCAATAATATCAGATAAGGCTCTTCGTAATATTTAATCAGAGATTTAAGTGAAAGGAAACTCTAGCAAGTCAGAGAGCCGTCGCAATTAACGAGTACAATTTAAGTTTAACTCGATATCGCGCGTGCAAGAGCCACGTGATATCTTATTAAAAAATATCGAGAAATTCCGAGAAAGCCGATGTCCGTCGAGGTAAAATTGACGCGAGATTCGATGGAGGCGTCTCGGAGGACTTGAAACGAGGCTTGAAACTGGAACGCGTTGAGTATTTTTAACACACATCAAACGCAAAATTCCTCCCGCCCAACAACAACGCACGTATATTTCGCATCACGTAATTCTTTCGTGCTTCCGAGAAGTTGCATCGGCAGCTGTTTCTAGACGCGAGACGAGCGGACAAAGCATCGCTATACTGTCCTCGATCGCGGGCTCTTCGCGGGGACGGGTCTGACGAGCTCGTTCATTGAGAAGCGAGCAATTAATGCAAATATTCCACACGGGAATGCGTAAGTGGGTCGCTCGTTTGACCCGTCTTCCCTGCGACGCCACGGCGAGGTTTCCTCCAGCCGTCGTCGCGCTGTCAATGTGTCGTACTGTTACTTAGCGCGATAAACGGTACAATTCGGCCAAATCGAGTCCCATAAGTCCAAAGCGATACGGCGGAGAAACTGCGACTGAGACCTCGCAATGAAATCCCTTACCCGGTGGCGCGCGGCAAGACCCTTCGAGACGAGAGGAGACGAATAACATTAATCAGCGCAACGGCCGGCGAAAGCAAACGAAAAACGTCGTAAAACTTCAGTTAAATAGTCGCAAGCTGAATAAAGGAGGACACAATGTCTCGTCCGCGGATCGGCGACGACTGACCCGTGACATCAGCGTCGCACCCCATAATAAGGGAGGACTTCGAGAGTTTCCCCCTGAATGACGCGCCGAGAGAGAGAGAGAGAGAGAGAGAGAGAGAGAGAGAGAGAGAGAGAGAGAGAGAGAGACGTTGATTAAAAACTACAAAGTCCAAATTAAACGAGATTTATTCGGGCTGACTCGAGTTACTCGCGACGTCGCTGATCCACCCAGCGATCGTCTGAAACACTCTAAGGGCGAACTAGCTAACTCCGTTTGTTATTCAACAAAAATTGAAAGATTAATCATTCTGTGTTAACAGAATGGAGTAGATGCTACGCGAAGCTCGCGCTTCTCAAGCTTTTCTCCGCGTGCTGCTCTTTTCTAAAGAATAATTTACTTTAATTTAGCGACGAGGCGATGGTGGCTTATTGAGATACGCATTTCTTGCGGGAGTAACACGGACGAATCGTTTCGAGCATCATTATGATCGATAATGAGGCGTAAAGTGCGACGCGTATGATCTAACTCATGGGAGTGGTTTTTGGACCCGGTCCAAAGTTGCATCATTACTCGAGCTCGATATGTTTCGCGATAATCGACACTGGTCGCCGGACGTGTTAAGCAACCAACACCGTGTGCGGCATCACGATCGCGTTAACGCGACGATCGATATGCGACAAAACGTCCATTTAAACGCGCGCTCGCGGACAGCCCGCTGTTTTCACTTCATCGTAATCGAACAACGCGACGCTGTTGTGTTAAGTTCGTGGCACGCGCAGAGATATGAACAACAAGCAAGATTGATCATAATTTCTGCTCTAGAGGATGATAACTTGATATGATTATAATAATAATAGACAATTGATTGTAATGATCGATTACAGTTGATCGTGACGATTGATCGTGAGAGATTTGACGCACAAGCTCATGCGATTCCTATCGCTGGCACTCGAACTTCGTAGGAAGAATATAATCAACGTAGACAATTCTCTTACTGCTTACGTTCTCTCACTGTTTACGTTCTCTGTATGCGCATTGGGCTTTACGCTTTACGCGGTGCAGAAAGTAGTAGCGAGGATGAATTCCGGCAGGCACTTCTCGCCGTTTCGACAGAGCGGGCCGTTATGATCTCGTTTACGGACAAATAACGCAAAATTGGTCGAGGCGGCAGAGCGCGCGGGAACTCACTCGATGGAACGTTAATGCTACTTAATACAAGTGGAGTTGACACTGATGGAGGAGACAGTTTCGTTTAACTGGTCGCTTCAGAAACTGGCGCAGCTCCAGAGGTATTTCTAAGGTTACCAAGGTTAAGACACACGGCTGTTCTAGGGCTTCCGAATTAACGAGCTCGCTCGAAAGCCAGCCTTGAAAATAGAGTCGATTTGAGATATCCCTCCCTCGGGGAAGATCACAGATTGTGTATTTTTAGCTGTCTCTCACTCGTCCGCTCTCTTTCATCTTCCTCGTGGCATGCCTTTACTCGGAATCGCGAGCGGTTGTAGCAACTTCTCACGCGGTTTCTCACGTCTGTTATCGTGAAACGACTGATTAATCGCACCTGATCGCCGATCGCGGAGAAAAGGTATTAGTCGAATAAAAGTGACACGATTCATTTGTTGTTACGTTGATTCAACTAGTTTTCTTCCCGTTCATTCAGCAAGGTGCCGCTTACAAGACGTACAATGTGTCTTCCTGTTCTGTATGTGTATTCTGTATATCTTCCAGCCGATTAATCATGCCTATGTTATGTCATTTCGAGAGCAAAAATTTCGATTGCGAAATTGACGCAGTCACGAGGAGGATGCTGCGGTGGACAGGAAGACGCGGACGTGGCTGTGCGATCGCCGACCGGAGGATTCGCGATGTCGCGAATCCTCGGAGGGCGGTATCGGAGGGCGGTATCGCTGGTGGTGCTACATCGCGAAACTATTATGTATCACATGTAAATAACTCGTTTGCACGAGCGTGACGTCAGAACCGAGATTATTCAACGAATATTGTCAACGGAAAGCTATGCAACCTTTATCGCCGAGCTCACTATCGCCGACCGACTTTTCGACGGGCAATCGAATTCGAGGAACGAGTCGATCAAGTCGCGACCGTGAGAGAGCGATGAAGTAATTTGTTCTGCCTGACACATTTAACAACAGATCGCATCATCTTCCCGAAATAGCCGGCTCGAGTGAAATTTGCGTCTTAATTAAATCACGATCGATCGAACAGCAGTCTCAGACGATGCGACGGTGATTATTAGAATAGCTCGAGTTTTTGCTTCTCGAAGAGACTCAACTGGCGTTTGATTTTAACACCGGGGGAAAGGTAACTTGTGTTTGGTCTTGGGCGAGATTATTGATTAACAAAAGTAATTTGCTCTTTTTATAATTGTAATACGTGTATCTTGCTGACAAATTGCTGCAGGTCTTTCATACACCGCGTTGCTCATCGGGACGTTTATTATCGTTAATAACAGTGCTTGTATGACTTTCTTTGAAAAGCCTCAGGATCTTCATTCATGACTCTTCTATCTCTCTATCACTCGGCAGGATCGCGCTGCTCAGTCAGAGG